CATTCCCCCATTCCCTACTAAGCACCAGACAGTTGACAGGAGTGGGCTCGACAGGGCGATCGCGCGAAAGCCGAGGAGTTCTACCAGCAGATGCTCTCCGAAGGCGGGTTTCAGGGTTTAGGGTTTGGGGTTTAGGGTTTGGGGTTTAGGGTTGAGGGTTTGGGCTTTAGGGTTTTGAGTTTAGGGTTTAGGGTTTGGGGTTTAGGGCTTTGAGTTTGGGGTTTTCGGTTTCGGGGGGTTTAGGCCTCTTCTAGGGTTCTTTTGGGGTTTCCAGGGTGTTTAGGGTTTAGGGTTTAGGGTTCGTTTGGGGTTTAGGGTTTAGGGTTTAGGGTTCGTTTGGGGTTTCGGGTTTAGGGTTCGTTTGGGCTCAGGCTTGAGGGTTTGGCTTAAAGGTTTGACAGTTTGGGTCGATCGAGGCCTTTCAAGAGTCTGTTGATGTGGCAACCCACTTCCAACTTACGGTGTCGCTGTTGCATCGAGCAGTTGTGGTCCGTTGTTCTGGCAGCCAACATAGAGTCTTTGTCTTTTTACACATGTTGCTGCATGTTCTTCGGTGATGATAGGGGCTGTTTGCTCAAATAGGCAGAGTATCTCTTTTTATGCAGCTTTCTGCATCAAGGCTTGTGATTTCTCGGAAGCTTGATGCGCTAACGAAGCTCCTGACCCCGAATCCGAACTGCCGCATCTGAAGATCCAAATGTAGGGGCCTTACATAATACTCATATTATTTTGGGTGTTCCTTATTCTATTTATGGTATGGTATACCTTATTTTCATATTTAGGCCCCTACAGTATCCCTGCTGATAGTTTCCGGCTAGACCCAAAGCCCCAAACCGATCCCTAGACCCTGCACCGAAGCCCTAAAGCCCTGAGCCCCAAATCCTAACTTCAGAGCAGTCTAGGGTTTAGGGTTTGCCAGCGCTTCCACCAACCCATCAAAATGCGCGAAAAGCTCCGCCCACGAGCTAAAATTTACACCCCAAACTGTCCAGCTCTAGACTCTCATATGGCGGGCTTAGGGTTTAGGGTTTGAATAAATACTCATACTCTTCCTAAGCCCTAAGCCCTAAACCCTAAACCCTAAACCCTAAGCCCTAAACCCAAAACCCTATACTCTAGACCCCAAGCCCTGAGCCCTAAACCCTTAACCGCAAACCCAAAACCCAATACTCTAAACCCCAAGAGCCCTAAGCCCTAAACCCTAAACCCTAAACCCCAAGCCTTAAACCATAAACCCTAAACCCTAAACCCCAAGCCCTAAGCCCTAAACCCTAAACCCTAAACCCGCCTCCGTTTTGGAGGCTGGGAGCCGGATCAGCACTGCAAGCGCATCCGCCGAAAGTTCCAACTGTTGTAGCACTCGGAGCCTCCGAACCTCCTGACTTCAGCAATCTAATAATACCCTAAACCCTAAACCCTAAACCCTAAACCCTAAACCCTAAACCCTAAACCCTAAACCTTAAACTCTAAACCCTGAACCCTAAACCCTAAACCCTAATCTGATATAGGGGCGTTAAGAATTAGAATAGGGATCCTTTAAAGGGCTCTTGAAGGGATCAAACCTCCTCAGTTCAGGAATATAATATAATGTAGGGTTTAGGGTATAGGGTTTAGGGTTTAGGTTTAGGGTTTAGAGTTTAGGGTTTGGGGTTTGGGTTTTAGAGTTCAGAGTTCAGGGTTTAGGGTTTAGGGTTTGGGTTTTAGAGTTTCACGATTCAGGGTTTAGGGTTTATGGTTTGGGGGGCCGTGGCAACAGAGACATAATATAGGGGCCTTAATAATTAGAATAGGGTTCCTGTAAAGGGTTCTCAACGGGGTCTCTCGGGGTTACTGCAAGGGCTACTATAGGGGTTTAGTATAGGGGCCTGAATAATTACATGTACTGTTTTGGGGGTTCCCTATTGTATGTACATATCATAATCCAAAAACCCTATTCTGATTATTCAATCCCCCCACAGTACCCTAAATTATTACAAGGGGAACCTGGGGCGTTTAAGGGCTTTCGGGTTTAGGGTTCTATAGGGGTACCTTGAGTCTAGGACATTTTCAGGTGGGTAGTATACCTTATAGAAGCCTTATAGAAGCCCTATATACCCTAAACTCACCACCTAACCATAAACCCTAAACCCTAAACCCTAAACCCGGACCCTTTAACGGTCCGTCTTTAGTCCCTAAACTCCCCACCTGTAGTTTCCTTTAATTGAGGTGTTCTTTAAGGGTGCCCTTTGGAGGCGTTTTTTCCATGGAGCTCCGTGGGTCTGGTTTAGGGTTTAGGGTTTAGGGTTTAGGGCTCCCATCCCTACCGCCAAAACTCACGGGTTTAGGGTTTAGGGTTTAGGATTTAGGGGTTTAGGGTTTAGGGCTTTACGCGAAACCATCAGCCCTAACCTGAACCCCAAACAACCGACCTTTCTTAACGGACTTATAGAAAGAAGTCATAGTAAGGACCCTAAAAAAATCGGTTCTTATCACCTCATTAAGAGGTAATTAGGAGCTACAAGGTATACAGGATAGCCTTACTCCCTATGATCTATAATCTTAAACCCCAAACTCTTTGGGGTCCAGGCAGGCCTTAAAGCCCACACTTTAAAGTCGAAAGTCTAAGACCTTCCCTACACAGAAGCACAAAGGAGCCCAGAAGAATCTTTGGCCCTGAACCCTAAACCCTAAACCCCAAACCCTAAACCCTAAACCCCAAGCCCTAAGCCCTAAACCCTAAACCCTAAACCTTGAATCTTAAACTCGAAGCCCCAAAGAGAACTCGAAGAAAGCCTCGGTCGAAGCCTGAGTTCGGAAGCTGCCGTGCGAATGAGAGAAAAACCCTGCAGCTGCTGATCGCGGTGGGGCCTTCTTGTTCGGTTTAGGGTTTAGGGTTTCGCGTTTCGGGTTTCGGGTTGCGGGTTTAGCGTTTAGGGTTTCTTCTTGCTGCACTTCTTCTGCTGAGGCTTGTTCTTGCTAGTTTGCAACTGCTGCTGCTACTGCTGCAACTGCTTCTGGTGCTGACTGCCGCTGCGCGGCTGCTGCCACGGCGGTCGCTGCCGGCGGTTGCCTTCCAGGGTCAGTGTTATGACTGGAACCATGCTTTCACTGCATCCGTAGCTTTTTTATGCGTCATGAGTATCATTTCTTGCCGTCGTGCAGGGATGGTCCTGGTTGCGGTAGTTGTTGGGGTGGTTGGGGTTGTTGCCTCGGTTAGTTGTGATTGCTAGGAGCCCAGCATTGTCGCCGGCGTAATCGCACTAACAGCAGCAGCAAGAACAGCAGCAAGAGGAGAACCCAGGCACAACTGGTCGTGGCAAAGCCATCCGTAAAGCCCGCAACGCCAGCTACCGTAGCTGCACTGCAGGCCCGATGGCGCGGTTTTCTGACTCTCGTCTTGTCTTTTGGCCAAGAGTTTTGGGCCCAGAGCACTGATATAGAAGCCGAGTATAGCTATACAATCCTATGCGCCAAAGCCTTATTCGAATACTTCCGAAAATAACTACCAAGACTATATTACTTGTCCTGAAGGTTCCTTAGTACAAATATGCTGCACTGCACACTCCTTCGAAGCCCTAAGCCCTAAAGCCATGAAGATGTTACAGAATGGCCCCGGATTCTTATACTCTATCAACCGTAACCCCTAAACCCTAAACCCCTAAGCCCCTAAATCCTCAACCGAAGGACTCTTTTCGGTATCGGCCCTCCGTGGGTACTTGGCTCCACCCGAAGCCGGGAACTCGAAGTGGTCGGGGGTTCCGGGCTTAGGATCTAGGGTTGAACGCTTCGGGTTTAGGGTGTGTACCTAGAGGATCATGGGACTTGGCAATTAGGGTTTGCATAAGGTTGCTATACATGTAATTCATATAAGTATCTGAAAAGCCAAACTAAGGTACTAAGTGCCCGGATCCTTCAGGTAGGTTTAGGGTTGACAGCGTAGGGCTTGGGGCATGCAGGGTTTAGGGCTTGTAGGGCGTGGGGTGTCGCATTGAAAGTTGAAAGCTGAGTACTTCGGGTTTCGTGTTTGTAGGGTTTAGGGTTTACAGGGTTCAGGGTGTAGTGCGGGCTCAGGGTTGAAAGGGTTCAGAGCTCAGGGGTTTGCAGGGTTTGTAGGGTTCACCGATGAGTTTGTGACGATAAAGCCGTGCATAGGGCCAGAGGCTGTAACAAGCTTTAACATTTCATTGGCGCAGTAGCCGGCGCCGGGTTTCGGTAGAGCCCAATCCAGGAAAGCGCAGTACCAGGTAGACTACACCTGAGATCAGTCCTTGCCGTGTGTCGGTGTTGATTACCAGCGGTGGTAGCAGCAGCAGCATTGGCTGAAGGAAAGAGAGAAACACAAGCGTATGGGAGTACAAGGTCGAATGACATTCTGATAGGAATAGCGACCAAAATAGTGGTAGCAAGCAAAACATGATGTCATCCACGTTCGGCAAGAGATCATATCAGCAAAACACACTGTGCATGCAGTAACGAGGGAGGGATCTGGGTCCTTGTACACCCTAAACCTTAAAACCCTTCCACCCCAGACCTTGCACCCTACTTCAAGGATCATGGGACTTAGTAAGTAGGGTTAAAACTAAGGTAACTATACCTATGACCCCAATTAAGCGACTTATAACCTTACTTACTAAGTCCCATGATCCTTTAAGTAATCCCTAAACCCTAAACCCTAAACCCCTAAACCCTAAACCCTAAACCAGAACCCTTATAGAACCCTTAAGGATCCTTTAAGGTGCTTTCTGAAGGACCGACTTTCGTGGGGTGCAAGACCTGTAGTGAACCCTTGACCCTATACCCGAAGCCCCCAACCCCCGTAAGACCTGGACGATTGAAAATCGTGTTGTTGCATGAGTTGCAGTCGCCCTTAGCGCAATCCTCACTTAGATTAATGTAGACGCAGGCATAGTTACCAACATTAGTCTTTATGGCTCCTTATTATAATGATATCATAACATACCCCAAAACTCGATTCTAATTGTTGAGGCCCCTCTATTGGATTCGTGAGCTACCCATCTGCCATGGCACCCGGCCATCGGCGCTTGCGGCGCTTCTGCGCCGGCAGCGCTGCGCTTGTGTTGGGCACTCCTTCGTTGCTGGGCCTTGGGTTTGAAAACCCGAATTTCGAAACCCCAAACCCCTAAACCCTTGAATTATTTAAAGACTCAGGGTTTAGGCTTTGGGTTTAGGTCGAAAAGTATAGGACCTACGGTCCAGGGTTCTAGGTTCAGGATACAAGGTTCTCCCATCGGTTTTGGTTCACGGCCTCGGGAATTGGAGAAACTCCTCCTCAACCCCTAAACCCTAAACCCTAAACCCTAAACCCTAAACAATAAACCCCTAAACCCCTAAACCCCTAAACCCCTAAACCCTAAACCCTAAACCCCAAACCCTCTTCTTTTGCTCAAAGAGCCTCGTTTGGGCTTGGTTGAATGTCACCCCCCCCCACACTCTGAAGCAATGGTTTAGGGGTCTAGGGTTTAGGGTTTAGGGTTTAGGGTTTAGAACGGTTTAGGGTTTAG